AGATCTGCAGCGCCGATCTTTCTGTAACTTCGCAAAGTGTTCTGAACATTCTCAATAAACTTTCTTGTTCAGTCTCCGAAGGGTTCCGGGTTGCAGTATTCGAAAGATAGGAAGAGGTCTCTCGAGCGTGACATTCAGCCACTGACCGAGATAAAGCTGACTTTCAATCTGAGCGCTTCGACAATGTTGCCCCGGCCAACTTCGCTATCAAACGACTGATAACAGCGGTGTTTGAATCGGCAGTCTTCGGCATTGTGACCATCCATGACAATCTATGGGCGCTTTTCCGTAGCTTCTGGGGTCAGACGTGTAATTCCGCGATGCTCAATGCAAACCTCCACCGATTTTCTTCATATTTCACCCATATGTACTGTCCAGGATGCAAGTGAAGTGTGCGAAGTCTGAAATGTATTGGAGAGGAAGGGAGGGAGATATCCATGAAATACGTTATGGGTCGTAGCTTCTGGGGTCATGCTAGTATGCGTATGCGAGTTTGAGTCGCGTGCCTTCTTCCCCACCGCATGCGGTATAGCTCTGCCCCTTATCCCCCTGCTCCTGAACCTTCCTAACCGCAACAGGCTCTGTCCCGTCCACCAGTGGGAGCCCTCTCTTGTGAGCACATGCACACGGACCTTTGTGGCCTCCCTGCTTTCCCTGCGTCCCCACAACGCCAATCATGCGCCGACCACAGAACGCTACAAAGCTAGAACCTTTCATCATATTCTCTAAAATGAGCGGCATTCGTACTTCTTGCGATCAGCCAACCAGGACGCAAGCCTGTCACCAAATGCATGCCGAAGTCTGATGCGACTCGAGAGGAAGCTTCCCTTCCCCGCGTCCGCACAGGTTTGGGAAGGAAGCGCGGGCTTATCAGTGTGCATAGTGCCCCCGGGCGTTCCCACCGCTAGCAATTGATCGGCCTCGCCCTTCTGCTGTCGGCCACGGTGATAGCAAGTCAGGAAGGTCCTTCTGCTGCGAACACGTCTTCGTTTACACGTTACCTACCAGAAGCCGGGCTTCGGCCCCAGATAAGTGGGGAACACACACACGACACCAGGGTGCGTTACATATACGAGGGGGCTGGGCACCGTTCGCGCGAACGCGCCTCCCGTCCCCCCAGCGTCGATATTGAGATTCCGAGCCTCTGCGCAGGCTATGATAGGTAAGTACAAGATGGTGGTAGTGTTCGCATATGGATACATTCGTATTCGCGTCCGAGAGTAGTGAGTTCGTCAGTTCCTTCGCTTCTGCTTTTCTGTTCTTTCGTACAGTTCGTTTCGTGTTTTTTTTGGCTCCCCCGTCTGACCTCGAGTCCTCCGGTTGCACGTCTGTGTTTCGAGTGGTCAAGGCACGAACACCTGCGAAGGCCGGGGTCCATGTCATGACCGGTCGCCGGTCTCCGCCGCGCGCCCATCTGTCCGCCGCCGCCTTCTCTGTCCTAGCGTCAATCGCCTTCTCTGCCCTGTGTCAATCCGCCGCCGCCTGGTTCCGTGTGTCCAGGGCAAGTGCACAGGTACATCTGGTCGGCGGATGCGAGCAGCACCGAGACATACGGTTCGCCGTTGCGCGAATTGCCCCGGCGTGATCGGCGTCGAGTGGAGAAGCATCTCGAGTACGGGATCCGCAGGCGTCGCCGTACGTCAGTCTGCAGATGGCACGGCGGGGAGCTCGGTGAGCTTGAGCTTGTCGGGGTAGCCTCGACGTCCGAGCACGACCGTAACGGTATGTGGGCCTGCGGAAGAGATACACACGAGGTCAGCGTACGTGTCACGGAGTAGGAGAAGCCAAACGTAAAGCGCGAATTGCAGATAAGAATTGGTCGAAGCAGAAACAAAGCGGGCAGAGAAGATGGAGAAGAGAGTTTGGCAGCCGGCCCCTCCCTTCAAAAGTCCAAGAGGAACCGTCTGCCACATCTCCTGCTCGTCGAGGCAGGCCAGATCATGCCCAAAGGGGACTCCGGGAGTGAGGTCGACGTGGCAGGTGATACCCGTTCCCGGAAAGACTCGCATCTCCCTGTCCCTCGCACTCGACCGCGCGGCAGAAGCCGGTGTTGGGAGACAGGAAGCGGGGATGGCGAGGGACCGGGGCAGCTGACAAGGAGAGAGGCGGTACAAGGACCCGCACGCGTTTGGTCGACCGGGCGAAGAAGTTGACCAAGACGCCGTGCATGAAGCGCGCAGGGTCCGAGAGGGGACTGCACGCAGTGGCGCGGTGCGTGTCGAGAGCCCCAACTTCTAGGTTTGAGACGTGGCTGCTGCTATAGGCTGAGAAAAGGGAAGGCGAAACGAGTGTGGAAGGGGCGAGCACGGTACGGCGATAGCACAGTAATCCGGGTATCCTAGTGTGGGCACAGGACAGGAGGGTGGGACGTCGTGTGGGGAAGGTGGACTGAGAGTTCGACGAATGGACGTCTGTCCAGAGTGCTGTATCGTACTGTATCATGTCTGTGTGGGGCGTGTCACGTCACATGGGGCAACTCTAGTGCGGTATGTCTAGATGAAGGGATGTGCTTGGCTTTCCAGAAGGACCGACCGAGCCCTCCACGAACACTGCTGCCCCGCCTCAGACGGGCTGTGAGCCCAACGAGGTCGAGCACAACGGAGCGCACGCGAAGAAGCCCGAGCCGATTCCTCCGGTCGACCGGGGAAGTGAGGCAGCGAGTGTAAATCTAGAGGGGATCCGATAAGGAGCGAAGGAGACGTCAATCCGTCCTCGTGCGATGGTAGTACACGACAGGTGCCCGAGGGAACAGTTTACATGATTGACACACGACGACAAGTCGCCTGTGCGTGGGCGTGGGCGTGGGCGCCCTCTATCAAAGCAGTAGATGGGAGATGATGGATGATACCGAGGGAACGGATGGGATGTGAGAGAGCATAACTGTGGAGCGCAGATAGACGTGGGGAATAGCACAATGGGGTAGCAACAGTCCGAAAATCAGAGCAATACAACAATCCAGACCCGAAAGGCGGGACCGGAAACCAGATTCATCAGCATAGATGGGGGTAGAGATGGAGACGGAGGGAAGATGGCGCTCGCGTGTAGGAACGAGCTGACGACGGCAAATAAAGAACAGATAAAAAGAGAAATAGAAGGGGGGTCAGGGCTATGAAAAGTCAAAGAAAGATACATACTCTGATTCCATGTTCTCGTCGACGGTAGGGAGTGTTTGAGCTGAGCGCTGCGCTGCTCGCTGCAGCGTTCTGGATTTAGCGGATTTGTAGGACCAGGGATCGGGTGCGGGGACAAAGAGGAAGACGGAGTTACGGTTCGAACGGCGTGGCGGTGACGACGAGGGGGATGACTGCGTCGGCGTTGATGGAGGGGAGTCGGGGGAGGACAGGTTCTCCGACGCGGACTGCCTCGCTATCTGGCAATTGTAGCAGTCGCAGGACGGGTCCGTGACTGCAGCCGAAGACGATGATGAAGAGACGGGAGGCGGAAGAGAGATGGTCGAGATGGATGAATTAGTGGAATGAGTAGATGAGATCGGTGTTACAAATTCAAGCGCAGAGGCGGGGGAATCAAGGATGGACATAGAGCTGTTGTCGACGCTGGAGGACGAGGAGGCATGCAAGTTGGCAGTCGAGACGACGATTGACGGGCGGTGGCGCATCTTGCTCGCCTTGTTCCTGATGGGGACAAGGAAGACGCGCTTGCGCTGTGATGCCGAGCCTGCACGCCTCGCAAGGAGTTATTCGTGCACACGGGGCTCCGTGAGCTCGGTCACGGGTCGCATGTGCTCGGGGTCTTCGCCGTCCTTGGGAGGGTGAATGCCGACCTTGTTGAGGATGCGGGCGAGGCTGCTACCGCGATCCTTCGAGGGTGTTCTGGACGTGCTGCGGCTGCGACTCTGGGAGGGATCGCGGGAAGCCGACCTCGAGCGGACGATGTTGCCTGCGCCGCCGCGGCCCGTTGTCTCGTATTCGTGGGGGTGAGGGGAGGCCGGCTCCAGGGGTGGGCTGTGCATAGCTGTGATATTTGCGCGTCCGCCGCGACCGGTGGAGTGTCTAGGGGAGGAGATGAGCACGCAGAAGGAGGATGAAAGAATGAAGTACGTACATCCCCTCTTCGTGGAGGTACCTCAAACGCTCTTCGTCGTCCATCTGGGCGAGCAACTCAGAGTCTAGCTGCACACCCGACTGCAGGTTGCCTGCACCCCCACGTCCAGTGGACGTCACGGGAACGCGAGAGCGAGAGCGAGACTTGGAGCCTCCTGTGATGTTTCCGAGGCCACCGCGTCCGGAGGAACGCTGAAGGTGGGGTATGAGTGTCGACACGCACAAGAGGTGACGTATATGCGTACCGCGCGGGCGTTCATGAGGTCTTCATTCCGCTCGACCACGCTGCGCTCGTATTCGGCGACACTAGCCGCTTGGTCACTTACAAGGGATGCAGTCTGGGGATGGTTCTCGGGGACTACGGAGGCATTGCGTGCTTGCGACCCTGAGCGGATGTTGCCCATGCCACCGCGACCGGTGGATTTGAGCTACGCTCCTGTGAGCCTGGATGTCTGCACGCGAAAACTTAGTATACTCACGCGCTCGGGGTCTACATGTGTTTCGCGTCCGCGCACGGGGGATAGAGGTTCGCTCGGCGGAGGAGGACTTGCAGGGTCGGTAGATGGTCTACGAATGTTGCCAACGCCGCCGCGGCCGGACGACTGGTAGAGGGACGAGTTAGGGAGCGAATCTCGCGAGTCATGAATGGGACGCACGAATGCTTCTCGACCGCGCGAGACGGAGCGACGCTCTGTGGGGGTGGAGGGCTGACCGTCTGTTTCTGCCATGGCCAGGGAGGTGAGAATGGAGGGGGAGAGGGAGAGGAGGATGAGAGGAGGGAGTCAGGTCAATATATTAGGCGCGCATGACATGGGCCAGGGACAGCCCACACCTGCGCCACTGTCCAAGGAAAACGTCTGCAGACACGAAGGCCCGATCCGGCATGTCACTTCAGAAGAGGTGTATGCAGCCGTGTCCGACGCCGCGCGATAAGAAAATGGCCCAGGAGGCCGATACCGGCGTGGGCGAGCGCGGGCACGGCTTATCTCCTTATCTCGCGCTCCCCCAAGGGCCCAACATCTGGAAACGAGGCTACTCACCCTCTATCTTTCCTCCCACTACCTTCCCCCGATACGACTTCTGCAGCGAGCCAATGCTCTCGTCGTCATCCACTGCTGTCGCGTCCGTGTCGTTCGAGGCGATGGACTGGCCGTCGTCGGGGGCGTGAGCCTTTTTCCCCAGTCTAGCGCCCAGCGCGCCAGTCCAAGAGGGCCTCCGTTGCCCCGAGCCTGCGGAATCTTTGCTGTCCTGTCGCCTCAACATTGTTAGCATCGTCAGTCAATCGTCAAACCTTTGGAGAGTAGTCCTGGGAAGGAAGGGGGCAGGCGGTGGGCGGTGTGCTGGCAGGGAGAATTTCGTGAGTACCCTATGTATCGCTAGACGGTACTAGTACCGTCGCCTACCAGAGTCACGCCGTGTTCCGGCTCTTGCGCTCTATTGCGATGTGTCTGCGTCATGGGACGTGCGTGCTCGGCGTGCTTCGCTCCCTCATGCGCCCTGCCTCTACGTTTTTAGCTTTTATCCGCTCCTTTGGCTCGCCTTCCACCATTCTGTTGCGCTTCTCATGACCTGCTCCTGCCTCCGGATGTCGTTACGTCCCCAGATTACATTCCACACGTGGAGGGCCCATCCACCTGTCAGGAGTCCAAGATTCGCAGAGGCATGGCCCATATTGGTGACGAATGGCGACAGAGACAATCGTGCGAGATGGCGCGCCCATCTAGTTGCAACGCCACCACCAACGTTCGCACTCTGCTTGCTCCGCTCTGGCAACACGACGGCTGCAAGTGCCATGGCGCTCAGTAACTCTTGCTCTTCTCGTCCTCCTCTGGTCCTCCGAAGCCTTTGATATTGCCACAGTTGTCCTCGTCAATCTTTGCCCTGTCACCCTATGGCCTACCTTGGGACTTTGCGGGCGTAGCGAACCCCACGCCTGGAGCCTGATTCTTGTCACGCAACCGCTAGTATGTATGGTGTTTGTTCGCACAGCAATATATTGAATTTCCACATATTCGCCTACTGTCTCCCATCTGGCACTACGTTCCCTTCCTCCAGTTCCTTCAGCGAAGGTGTGGGTTATTCTTGGGCCAATGAAGCCCTCATATTACTCTACTGCTTCTCGATGGCCTTTCGGCATCCGCACTCTCCGTGTCTTGCTAACTATAGGTACCATCCCATGGCGCTCAGGCCGCGCGGTCTTGTAATGTTCAAGTCATATGCCAGACGAGACCTTTCGGGCTTCCACCCTAGGCCATGCTGTTTTCCTCCGAAGAACGCCGCGAATTTTCCGCATGAGGGCCAGGGGGGAGCTGGAAGTCCGAGTCGTAGCACGTTCGTCAGTTGAGTGAGACACAGCTCTCGGTGGGATACAAATGTGTCGAGCAGCGGATGGGAACGTAGAGCTTGCTGGTAACGGGCTCCTGCGTCGAGGGTTACCCGAGGCTGACCGGCGCTCGGTGTGCGTATGGTCCTACTACTTCCTCTACGGTGCGTTTAGCCGCAGCCTTTGATTTCGACAATGTGTTAAGACTCACGATGGGCCACAGCACTGCAGAAAACCTTGTCCGACCACTGCAGCGTTAGTTTATGCTATGCCGAAGGAATGCCATGCTTTCCCATGTAGTACCGTTTACTCTCGCGGTCGCTCACCGAGTTGAAGGCGCACTGGACGCTCGGCGTGAATGGGCGCACGCATGAGCCCGGAGTTCAACGAAAGGATCAGCTTGTTTCGTGGATTTGCTATGTTGTCTGCCATATCGGCAGGTAAGCTGGTCATCGCGCAGAGATTGACAGGCGTCGGTCCCCGAAAGAGCTTCAAGCTTGCGTTGCTTCTCACCCTTCACACTGCCATCACAATTCTATCCTGCGATACGACGCCTTGCAATGACGTTCAAGAGACCGACATGACTCTCGGGATGACGTTACGGTCGTCCGCATTGAACATATAAATCCGCCGTTGCTCTTTCCCCCGACCCACATCCACCCCCTCTTCAGCGACGACGTCTGTCACATAGTCCGTACGGTGCACCATGGCCTCCTTCATCCAAGACACTCTTGCCCAGATTCCCGGCATCGACCCGCGCGTGAACCAGCGCATGCAGTTTTTCTCTGGCATGAACGACGGGCCCGCCAAGACCGCCGCGCGCATCACCGGGGTCACCCAGGAACCTCACGCTAAGGACGACAGCCCGATCTACACCGGCAACTTTGGCCAACCCATCCCCGATCCCTGGTAGCTGTCTCCGGTCCTCTCAAGGTCGTTGTATGCGCTGACCAGGTGCATATATGCCAGCCATTCGCTGAACATCGGCGGCATTCCCTACCAGGGCGACGCCCTACTTCTCGAAAAACAGCAAGCGTTCGACCGCATGAAGATTACGGAGCGCATCGTTCATCCTTGCGGCAGCTCGGCGCTTGGTTACTTCCAAGTATGTGCAGCAATTGCTCGGGAGCACCTGTGTCTAACGTACCGACAATCCGGACAATAGGTAAACCAAGACGTGTCCCACCTGACCAAGGCCGCGTTTCTGCAGCCTGGTAAGAGGACGCCAGTGTACTCTCGCTTCTCCACCGTCACCTATGGGGTATGTGTCGACGTGACCGTAAGATCCTCATATACGTGTTGATCCGCGTGGCGGTAGCGTGAGTTCCCGGACAGCGCGAGGAACCCTCGTGGGTTCGCGACCAAATTCTATACTGAAGAAGGTGATTCATGATCCATATCTAGCATGTCATTGCTCACACCATAGCTCAGGAAACTATGACCTCGTTGGGCTCAATTTCCCTGTCTTCTTCGTCCGGGATCCATTCATGGGGCCGGATAACATCAGGTACTACACCCGTTGTGGTTATGCGTTCAAGGCGGTCTCTGACGGCACTTTGTCAAGATCTCAGCAGCGCCACCCCAAGAGCTTCTTACTGGACTACAATGCGTGGTTCGACTACCTGGCCAACGTCCCTGAGTCCCAGCACGCTGGGTTGATGTTATTATCTGATCACGCCACCCCTGTCGGCTGGCGATTCATGAGCGGTTACGGTGTCCACACGTTCCGATGGGTCAACAAAGAGGGTAGCTATGTCTTTGTGAAGGTATATCTACCCTCATACCCGGAAAAGCTGTATCCTTTGATGACCTTTCGTTCCAGTATCACTGGATATCCAAGCAAGGTGTTAAGCAGTGGTCCCATGATGAGGCCACCCGTGTTTGTGGAGAGGATCCCGACTATTCTAAGCGCGATCTATTCGAGCATATCGAGAAAGGCGGTGATGCACGCTGGACTATGATGGTTCAAGTTATGCAACCCGAGCAGATCGCTAGTATCAACTTCGACCCGTTCGACCCGACAAAAATTTGGCCTCGCAGTCAGTTCCCTATGCAGGAGGTCGGGGAGCTTGTCTTGAACCGTAACCCAGAGGTATGAAACTTCATCGAGCAGGCACAAGATAAATCTGACCTTGGGTAGGACTACTTCAGGGATGTTGAACAAGCCGCCTTCTCGCCTGGTTCTCTCGTGCCGGGTATCGAGGCCTCCCCCGATCCGCTCCTTCAGTGGCGCATGTTCTTTTACCGTGACGCTCAGTACCACCGCCTAGGAAGCGCCAATATTCACCAGATCCCCGTCAATTGCCCTTTCATGGCCAAGTGCGTCTGTTCGTTACTCTATTGTGTATGCCTCGTACTCACTCTACTCGTAGATTCCACTCTCCCGACAACTACAACGGCACCATGCGTATCGACGGGAACACTGGTGGAAAGCCGTACTACGTAGGTATATCTGTGTGTATCCTGTGATCATCTACTCATCTACTGCCGCAGTTCCCCAACAGTTATCACAATCAGAAACCTACGACCGGCGGCACCCCAGGCTTCCTACCTAGCGCAGCTGAGACGCCAATGCAAGTCGCGAATCACGTCGTGTCTAGGATTGGCCACTATTTCCACGAGGGCAAGCCCTCCGAGTACGACCAAGTGCGCGAGCTGTACAATCGAGTCCTTTCTGTGGAGGAGCGAGAGAACCTGCATCGCAACACTGCTCGCTTGCTCAAAGTCAGTACTGAATATAATGTCTGTGACGTTAATGGCTAATATTGCTTGTAGCACGCCGAGCCGATCGTCCAGAAGAACTACCTTATACAGCAGTGCGCCATCATGCGCGAGTATGCCGAAGCCATTTACGACCTCCTGCCGGAGCACGAAGGGTATAGCTTCAAGGACATCGAGGCCGGTGCTCCTATGGCGCATATGGTTCACAAGAACCCCCAGTTTGTCTCGGACCAAGGCAAGACCTTCATGGGCATGCCCGTGCGTGCGATGACGATCGCCTAAATCCTCTCCTACTACCACTACACAACAGCGGTGGTCCAAGTGCGTATGTACGAATAGTAAAGAATCATTTGTTCCAAACGCAGACGGTTGTATCAGATAGACGAATCGAATATCCGATGATACTGCATACGTTCGCTGGACAACGATTGCGCTGTTCGCAATGAGCAAAAATGTATATGGCTATCATGGGCCGGCGCCGCAGAGCGCTGGCCATAGGATAGCAATGTACTAGCTTCATCGTATCGAGTCCCCCGAGAGTCTGCAGGGCATATAGATCAAGCTGTCGCACCTCGTATGGCAGGGTCGCAGCAATTCTGAGCACCTGCATATCATCTCCGTCAGCTAAGTACTACTGGCGACTCACCGGAAATATTGCAGCAGCACGACGTCGATAATCCATATTGATATGCATGTTGCCGACAGGGTGCTATGTAGACATGTGGAGGTACTTGAGGTACTTTCTTATGGAGAGCCACTAACAATTCAAGGGGCTGCATATAGTGGTACACGTCCGAGTTTTATCGTGCAGGTACGTTTGGTCTGAACGATCGGGGCACAAATTCAGCGAAACTGCTCGAAAATTATCAGGTACATGCCTAAACCTGGGGCTTGAATTGCTTAAAATGAACTCAGAGCGACTGCCCATTCCACAGTACGGCTTGTTTGCACCAATAGTTATGTTATGAGGCATGCACAACATAACCATCGGCTACCGCAGCGAACCAAGCTAGACCAGGAGTCACGGCTAGGGACAGCAGACGAGTTCCCTCGCATGTGCCAGCTCTTATCCAGCAGCGGTGCTGTGTTGAGAGGGTGGAATCTAGTTTGTGGTCTTCATAAGTAATAATGACTGACAAGACAGAGCGACGAGATGACAGGAGGCTGGTCAAGTATAGCACCTTCATGTGAACGAGCAATGAGTAACGGCGGCCTTCGTCGTGTCCTGGTGATAGACATACGTAACGGTTGATGTACAAGAAACGAGGGTTGCGAGCTCAACCCTTCTCACGAGTCGTAGTAGTACCCAAGATCCTCCAGTTCATAATCACGGGTATCACCGGATTGACCCGTGAACGCATGGTCAAATGCGAGCGTCGTCTGTCGATCGGCGTAGTCGTCCAGTGTTTGTTCAGAGGACCGGGCGGCGGCCTTGCGAAGATTGAGCAGCACGCGAGTGCACAGCGCACTATGGACGACCCGGAGAGGCCTAGAAAGGTCGATGGGCGTCAGTGCGAGCGGTGCCACCGTGCAACGTGCCTTCGGAAGACGGCTGGCGGAGCACCGGAGATGAGGAGAATAGAAGGGCACTGACATCTGCATGAAGGAAGAGAGCTCTTGCTATGTAGAATGGGGGGAAGCATATTATCAATGCCGTTCCGAGCATTCAGGGCGTCAGATTGCATGCAAGACTGACCGGCGCGAGAAGCATAACAAGCAAATTGAGAATGGACAGAGCTTAGCAGATGAGCATCGCATGAGTATTGGAGGAAGGTGCATAGCTCGTGGAGCATACCGAGGACGATGGCAAAGAAAGCTGTGCCTGTCATCCGGCATGAGGTGGCCGTTCGGATGGAGCATACTGTGCACCCACCGTCACGATACATGGTATGGAAGACCGCGCCTTTTGATATGCCATCGACTAGGTTATAGGGCCTGTGAATCAGATAGGAAGCGAACGTCAGAAAAGCACCATACCGACGACTGCTGAGTTCCTTTTGAGAAGTGTAATGACGATAATCCCTGGAATTGACGTAGTAAATTGAAGATGATCAAGTCCCAAAATTTGCATTCACCTGTCTCGGCGCAGATCAAGCACGCGTACGCGGGCCAGGCGTCCTGGTCCTGGACGCACGGCACACAGCCGAGTACGTGCACAATCGAATCCGGAAACTCTGCGGCCCGGCTGTTAGGAGATGGCAATCGAGCGTTTCGAACGGGGAACTCACGAATAGCCGAAGAGACGACCTGACTGACCACATATAACGAGAACGGCTGACATGCGGTAAAATCAGTATAGCGCTTTCACCGCTATCGCAAGGATGACTTACGAGCATCATTGCGGCGGCGCCGACGAGCATGGTCACAACATATCTGTTGAACTCCCATAGCGCCATCGTTCTTGCCATCAATATGACTGATTGGCACGTCAGCATTTTTTGCGTCCTTGATTGTATGACAGGCTAAGACAGACATTCGGAAAACAGCGTGCCGACCACATAGGAATCTGAGTGACACATCAGTAGTAAAAACACTAGACATCTGTTTCGCGACACCTACAGGATAGTATTTGAAATCTTTGCTTGCAGGCCTTGAAGGAGGAATTCGTTAATGTCCACTTGACAAGAAAAGGCTATGAACCGAGCCAAGGCGTACCTCCGCGGTCTGTGTCCCTAGATCCACTTGGAGTACGTTAACTTACATCCCTTGCAAAGGTACCTGAGTATATATCTCACGAACGATCGCCAAGGTCGTGTCGAAGAGTGGAGAGTACTTGTTGATCAGAAAGACAACTTTCATGGTGCTTAGCCTGGTAGGCCATATGAATGTGATCTAATGTTTACATGGTCAAATAGGAGTCGTTCTCGGAGTAGTTTGAGACCTACTTCGTCTGGGAACGTAGCGAAGATCTCGAACAACTGCACTGGTTCTAACACATCCTCGAACAGACGTAAAGCTGGAATGCGCACCACAAAGGTTAACGAGGAAACTATACACGGGTCAGCAGATGCGAGGGGAGTTGATGATATGATCACCTTTTGTGTTCTAGGAAGATATATTCAATATCACGCTGTATCTCAATATGTCGAAGATGGAATGACTCACTTGGACCATTCTGACAAGAGAGGGGTCACCTATTGCACTGTTGGTTTGGGCGAGGATGAAGTCGTTCGTGTCCATAATTCCACACGAAGCGGAGACTGAGGCGGGGTTGTTAGGGCGCTGGACTTTCTCAGAAGTCCCTACACGGCAGATGAGCCTCTTATCCTCCCATGAGCGTAGAACGAAGCGGAGACAAGTGACCTGGGGCGTGAGATTCTGATCATATAACTCCTGTATTTTAGATATCATGGGGTGTTTGGAAAAAAGGCATAGTACGCGACGAACCTGGCGGTGCGTACGCGTGGCACAGGAATGTAAGGATGAACACAAGATCCGGTGTGGCAGCACACACGGCCAAACCGGCTCTGATTCACAATCTCTGCATCAGAGTTTCAGATAGACAATGTGAATGACGGTCGCAGCTAAGTATTCCATGTTAGACGTCAAGCTGGAGCAGCGAGAGGTCAAGCCAAGGACGGTCCAGATTCGGGTCCAGAGCTCGCCTTTGAGCTCGGCCCTCACAACACACAACCTGTCCTCCAAGGGGACGACTACATCGTCATGATCATCAGTTGGAGAGTAGAGAGTAAGATGTTGATGTTCAAACAAACGAACAGTATTCGTACAGCTGGGTCGCCGGGTCCACTTGCATGAAGAAAGGCACTTCGAGCAATTGAAAGTCTTCTCGACGTACAAGAATGACAGGGGTAGTATATGGTTCATTGCTGTAAGGCCACCGAATTTAGGACTCGCCGAGCATCTAGAGTTTGTTTCTAAGTTCGCCGAAAGTCACGAGGGCCTCTGTCAATACATGCGACCTAAGTATCCATTTCTGAGGGCCAAGGTAGCATAACGGAGTGATTGAGAAGGATAAGACAACTGATGATCATGGGTCAAGAGGTACGAGGAGCGATTCAAGGCTGGGTCCATGTGGCGCGGGTGTCTCGTACCTATGACGACAGACGCTCGCCGCCGCCCACTGCTGCCTGTACCGATGACCGCCCTCAAGGTTTCTCTCGAAGCGCCTCTTGACAGAATTTGTGATAGAAGTCGGTGTGGTCAGTTATACTGAAAGTGTTTCGCCCGCCTGTTCATGTCCCTGGAGACTCCGAAAGTGCGCGGCGGTCATGTTTCTCGCCGACTCTACATGATTGTCGCCTTCATTTGCAAGAACAATCCAACAGAATGGCAGTCCAGAGGCAACAGGCAGTGTCAAATGGCGTTCCCGGAATCTTCAGCATCTCTGAGAGATATACGGTCCTGTGGCATTCCACTGGTGGCCAGTTCCCATCCCAAAGTCGTGACCCTCGTTTGCTCTCTATATGACGTGTCTCCCGAGGTCTTGGCAGCGGAACTACGGAGGTTGAGCAGAACTCGCGTGACCAGGGTGCTATGCACTACCCTGAGGGGCCTTCGATATAGAGTTAGCATAGAGACAGGCCAATCACTAGCAAAAGGACTTACATCTCCATCGCTGAGGAAAACTCCGGCTGAAAATGCAGTGCGAACTCAGCAGTCTGCACAAGCATATGGTAGGGAACATAGTGATTACTTCGGCGAGCATGAGCACCAGGAGATTGGCCACTGAGATCGCTGAAAGCACGCAATTATCAGCAACGAGGGCAGGAGATCATGAGATTTGAGAAGCGTACTCCCTATGACAAGATAAGCTAGCGCGCCTTCGGTAGTACTGTAGTCAATAGTTGATCCAGAAGGCATCTTCTGATATCACTCACAGTCGCGATAGATGGTAGGAAACAATGTTCTTATCGTGGCTCTCGGAGCTATAAACAACAATCATCAGAGGAATATCGACGAGAGATCCATTGTCAAAACTGACCTGCTCTGCGTTCTCTATACCATAGTACGAAGGTCAATACGATGATAGCTAGACATAGTGCAGGCATACGATATTCAGCGCTTTGTGGCTTATGGGAACAAGATAGTTCCTAACCGGTGTCCCCGAGAACCATGCACGCTAATGCTGGCCAAGCATCCAGGTTGCTTGGAACACACTCTATGAGACGCAATGCATTCACCGCAGGAACTAGATGCTTGTGGGTGGACACATCACTGCAATGAGTCGAAACACTCACACTCGACGTATAGGTTGGACTGGTAAACAGCATAGACGCACACCATCTATGATATGGTCAAGAAGGGCATGTCACAGAAAGTGCAAGCACCTACCCCAATGGCGCTCGCTCCTCCGGCAAGTAAGGCCAGTACGTACTTGTTCCATCCCCATAGAGCGATCGTTCTGGCGAGCAAGATAGCTGGCGAGCTGTTCTATCAGCATCTCAACAGCGGTATTAGTAGCTCGACCCCACGCTTCACCTTCGGAACAAATCGTGCCGCTGAAGTAGAAGCCTGGGGATATCAATGACATGGCATGACGGTCCAGGTTGACGCTGAACGAAGGGAACACTCACTAGATATGACCTTGTAATGCGATAAGCAGAGCTATGGATTGATACGTGAGCAACGGTATGGACACTTGGAAGCAGGTCCTGACCTGTAAACTCGTAGTTGTTTGGAAGATCGCTGAACAACACCAAGATGGGCCTTACGTCGTCTGTGAGCAATGTCGGGAGGTGACTCACTGACTAGATCCAGTGCCTGGTCCACGATGGGCGAGTACTTGTTGAATAAGTACAGAGCTTTGGACATGCTCAACCTTCCTGGCCACACGAGAGCAACCTGTCGTATCTGATCAGTACAATTGTGACATGACACGACCAACAAATGACAACAGGTACCTCGTCGGGGAGGGTCGACAGTATTTCGAGGACCTAGTATAAGTTAACATATGTAACCCAGGATAGAGGACATAAAGAATTCCACCAAAAGGGTTGCTGAGGACACTGTAATATACGAACATCATCTCCCGCATACACCACGACGAAAGCGGAAGGGAGTACCTTTGACGTACTGACATGATTTTGGTCAGGTGTCCCGAACCGATAAATTCTAGGCAGCATACCTTAGTTGCTCTCAGCAGATAGAGACCAGAGTCTCCGCCAACGCTGTAGACATTTTGGCCTTGGGTCTGAGGGAAGCTGGCGTACATTGCGGCGAAGAGTGCAAGCTCAACTAGGATGCACGTCCACTCCCTTTATCCCAACCTTCGCTCCTGGGGATTGAACCTACGCAAGGCTTCGGCGGGCCATATCTCGTCAAGAAGTATCCGAGCATGGAAACCGGATATAGCGGTGTTCAGTGGCCACCTTCCGTCAAATGTTCCCAGAAGATGAATCAGAGACGCCAAAAGACAAGGACGTGCCCGCAGAAGAGAAAATAGACGACCTAGTGTCCACGATACGGGAAGAGATATAGCCACACGGAAAAAGTCTGTTAGCGCAGGCACTCCGAACCTGACCACTAGGTGCCCGAGGTTCGACATGCGGACTGCGTGAGTTCTACGCCGGATTCGCCGCACGTCCGACAAGTTCTATTCCCACCCCCACTTCGCTCGCGCGGCTAGACTTTGAGACTGTGTGAAAGTGGACATGCCCAGAAGACTTACAGACGCACAGTCCGGAGCGACCAACATCCTGAACCACCGGGATCCGGGCTTCCGTCCGAGGGCCTCCGGACTCAGACGGAAGCTGGCGGATGTATACATTGATTGCTGTTCGGGGGCACGCAGTCCGAGGCACCTTGTTGCATGGCTTAGAGATCAATGCCCCAAGCGTGCCGCAGAATGCAGAAGCCCAGCGAGCTGGATGGTCGTCTGGTAGCTGCATTTGATTAGTGACCGTGGCATCTCTTGGACACAAGCCACCACCACTCAACATGGGATATGAGTTCGCTTCCGGATCATCACCGGTGAATTGGTGCTTGCGACCAGGGTGGAAATACTGAGCCTCGCTCACAGGTGTTCTACAAGCGATGAGACCTGGGGAGTTACTGTGCAGCGCCAAGGATCAACACGTGCACGAATTCTAAAGAAAAAGACAAGAGCAAGAGATCAGATGAAGCACTGAAGGACGCGAACGGTGATTCACCGGTGAAGGGAAGCACGGGTAAACTTGTGCTTCAAGTCAGGGCATGACAGCGCAAGAAGTCAAGAGGTTGAGAAAGACGCACAAAGGCCATGCACTCGACAGGATGAAACACTCAGTGGTAGGATGCTACTTGCCGCTCATCTAGACATCACCACGGCTCATAACCGCTTGCCCCGATGCTTTGAGTGTCTTTCTGACTGTATAATCATAGAGCCGCTACAACTTGGACAAGCAGCGCATGATCCGCGACGATGACTGTCGTCACGACTCACCGTCCGGGTATGCACGGCGGAACATCTTCAGCGAGTGGGGAGGGCCAACATTGCTGTCAAGTTCTCTTCAGCCAAGGGAAACAGACAAGATGGCACAGCAGTATCCAGATCGAAGCCGTGTATCAAAATTCGGGTTTTCGGTGTGAGAGTGCCAGTCGAGGCCTAGGTAGTAGGGAGCTGCAGGTAAGTACGACGCAGTTGGATTTGGCGCCACTAAGCCGGGAAACTGGCGCTCAGCGCTCAGCGCTGGCCCCGTCCGATGGACGGGATCACAGGAACTCTCCAGCCCATGCATGCCCATCACGAAGAATTGAGCCAGCATCTCCGGAAGAAAGGATTGCGAAGTGTGCGAGACTCCTGGGAGGATCATAGCGTGGCACGAGGTACAAACGGTCAGAGATAGGGATTGTCTCGTAATAGGGCTCATCGGAGACGTCAGCCATCCTGAGCCCCCGACGATCCACTTTTTCTGTTCAACTTATTATGAATTTGGGCATTTGACAGCCGTGATAACGCTCTATGGAGCCAATTCTAGGGATCTTGTACTTGAGTTTCTTCAGCAACTTGAAAGCCGTTATACAGAGGACCTGAATGAGCGGTGCCTTCTTACCAGTCTCGTCTGTCAATCCACAGATAAGGTAGACCCTGACCACTATGTTATAAGAGTACAACGCGGACGGTCCGGTGTCCAAAATATGAGAACCAATAAAGTATCGACGCGACATATTCCCACACAATTCCGCTAAGGCTTGTCCAGACGCGAGTCGCGTAATGCAGTACTCATGGATGAGCATCAACAGTCTCCGAGTCAACTCCGGTTCATTGGTCTTCGTGATTTCTGAGGTATCTATCCTCCTCGGGAAAGGGACAGGATTGGGCGGCCAGGTCCCATGCTCTTGACTGCTCCAGACTGGTCCCGCCACGACGTCGTACAGCGACAAATTTGCGGATGTTCAGTAACACCCTCGTGCACACAGTGCTATGCATAACGCGGAGAGGCCTACCATACAGCCCTGTGTCAATTTTCCATTCCTTCCTATGGGCGGTCCATCGAGCGACTCACATCATCAAGGATGTGGATAATTCCATCTGAAGACGATGGACGAATCATGCGAGGTTTGTCGACGCGTGTGGAAGCGGCTGACTCACTGGTGCGAGGACTGTAAGCAGTAGGTTGGCAATCCAGACCGCTGCAGTCCAGACACGATATGAGATACCAGCGCATGCCCAAGGTAGTATGCGAGGAGTCCACCTTTCACGAGCAGGTAGGCCAAAGCTCCTGTACGTACGCGTGATTATTGACACAGGATCGATCGCGCCTATCAAAGTGAAAGTATTCTCACCGTCATGGTACATCACCGTTAGCAAATTACTGCGGGTCGCACCTGGAACTAAACAATACTGTAAGCCACGGAGGAGCGCCTGGGTCCTTACCGATATACGCGTACTAGCCAGCCGTTCCTGGTACCACTTCATAAATGTCAACGTGAAGATCGCTGATCATGTATAAGATTCATAAGCTGCTGTGGGCGGATACCGCCTGAGGAGAGAAGGCTTGATGCTCACCGATCTCGCCAAGGCACATGCCCACAAACGCAGGCCAGACCTCGGTATCGGCAGCAATGCATCCTGTCATGCGCATCATACTCTCCGGAGGGACTTGCGTCGCACGTGTGTAAGCATATGATGACCGTGGAGACAGAAGAAACTTCACATTGTACGTGGGCGCTCGATGTGTATACAACATAAAAGCAAAAGAGCTGCGTTGTGTTCAGAGAGGCCCAGAAAACGGAAACCATATCAATCACGAAAATCGAGGCGACACCCCCGCCCAACAGCCAGATGACGTACTTGCTCCACCCCCAGATGGCTCCTGTTCTAACAAGTAGGATGGCTAGGGAATGCCGCGATGGTTCGAGTTGAAAGTGTAACACGTCGTTGGTTCTCACCTTCGGAGCATAGCGTGCCGGCGAGGTATGTCCCTGTTCGAATATCATGACCTGTGACAGAACATACGCGAGCATCGCACTTACACGACAACACGTCCCAGCGTATCAAACATAGCTGTGAAGTAGTAGTGAGTGACGAGGTAGCTGTCGAGACGCATAATCACAACTGAGTTGTAGATTGCTTGTAACGTCGAAAGCCACTGATCGCCGTATATCAACAGTATTCCAGGCTGTTCTCCCTATGCTGGACGTACTTATCTGATCGATTATCTCTTCTGCAAACGGGAAAGTATTGGTTGAGAAAGAAAAGGAGGTTGAGGGCACTGCGTTCGGAAGCCCACACGAGAGCGACCTGTCCGGATTCCAATCAGTCCAGAGTAGCAAAATCCCTCATCAGAAGCTGCCTTACTTCTTCGGGGAGCGTAGAGAAGGCCTCCAAATCCTTGCGCGAGATGAGAATATGGGGGAGGCCGGTCAAAGAGACGTCCTCACCAAGAGAGTTGCCGAGGCGGCTTGAAAGAACCGGGTTGGCGAGTCCCTCATCTGAGGAGAATGTAAAGGCTTGCAACGCACCTTCAAAGTACTGGAAGCATTGTCGTAAGCACAGCTCAGAGATAGAGGCAAAGAAAAGCACCTTGTTGACTCTCACCAGGTAGAAGCCCCTGTCTCCTTGAATGGTAAAGGTATGCAAGAGGTCACTTGGCGTGCTCATGATCACAGCAGACGAGGAGCTCCGAGTAGCTGGTAACGTCCACCTTGTTTTTATCCTCTACATGATAGATGTCTGATCAGGTTCCAAGCTAAGAGACGTCGGTCTCTTGGGCACAATAGATGGGAACGGCGAGGTATGGAAACTGGCGATGACGCGACAGCCCTAAAAGTGAGTCAATCGGACAACGCGATACTTCTCTGTGCGACGCACTCGAAAACACTCACTGGAAGGTTGATTAGAAGCATTTCTAGGGGGCAAAATGATTAAAGGGCCTAGTGCTATGCGGCAGGCGTCGCGGCATGTCGTGAGCACTCGCTTCCTTAGGCTGAGCAACCCTATGATGCACTCCCCTCCGGCAAATCAGGACAAGGCTGATAGCGGGGAATGGTATGGACTGGAAGGGCAGTGTCGTTTCGCAGCTGTTGAACGTGAACGAAGGAAGGTGGCTGATTCCAGTCGTGTCCACGTCTCGTACATGAATGAAGTTGCCCGATCTGTCAATAGGAGCCCCTACAACTATGTCGCCATTGCATACCAAGCGCCCGCCACGCGTGCGTACTTAGACTTTGTGCCGCCCTCGTCGAGCGAGACAGAAAACAAGACAATGGTTTGCACCGACGACACCAGTACGCTCCTTGGTTCATCAAAGCCTAGCAGCGTCAAGACTTATACCGCATATCCCAACCAAGGTAGGTGAGAGTCCCAGACGAACATCCTTCCACCATTGCGTTTGTACTGATCTGCAGGCCAGTGTGCATTAGAACATAGAACATGGCGCATCGCGACCACTACGCACCTCACCTCAAGCGCGCCTTCAATGGATACTACACGCGCGTTCAGCTTGCAGACGGTGCGACCCTTGCCGGCATATTTTGCTGGGTGCGCAAGGCCCCGGAGCGCAAGAATCTCGTCCTCGTCTGCTACACGCCCTGTGTCCGATTGCCCACCGCGCCCCCATCGCAAGCCCCCTCAACTGCCACGCTCGCAGGCTCAAGCACGGGAAACACGACGCTGCTCGGGGACACGACCTCCAGTCTCCCGTACCCATGCGCGGACCCGCGCGCATTCAAGTACGAGTTTTACCCCGAGAACTTCGAACTGACCGTCGGGCCCATGCACCATCCGCACGCCAGCTTCACCATCAGCGCGCCCGGGGTGGGCCACATGAAGGTCACCGTGAACGAGGTCGAGTACTGCATCTCCGTCCCGGACCGCAACCTGCACGTCCACCTCACGCTCGACGCGCATGTCCCCTGGGACCCCGCGAAGCCGCGGCGCGGGCCGATGGGGCGCATCTTGCACTTGTCGTCGCTGCTCCCGCTGAACTGGCATGTGCGCTCGACGGCATCGCGCGCGACATACGCGGTGGCGCACCATGGGAATAAGGTGCGGGGCATCGGCTTGGCGCATGTGGAGAACAACTGGGGGGACTCATTCCCCACTGGGTGGATTTGGGCTCAGGTGTTCGACGCGCAGCCCCATGTAGACGCGAGCGGGAGCGTCTACGCGCCGATTGACAGTGAAGACGTCGCAGGGGAGCCAGGAGAGGACGAAGGCACACGATCGTTCGCCATGGCGGGAGGGCAGGCATTCATGGGCGTGCAGGCGTACCTGGTAGGTTACCACTCACTGAAATGCAACTGGGACTTCCGCCCGCCCGTTGCGATGGGCCTCGGGAGGCTCTCGCCCTTCATGCACGTCAGGCACGACAGCCGAAGCGGGGCAGTCGAGATCTGGCTCAGGACTTGGAGACGTTGCTTGGAGGTCGCGATCGAGGCGCCCCCAGAGACGTTCATTGGGATGTCGGCGCCCTTGCCCAAGGGTCACGAACCGGGCTTTGCGCGGGAGAGCTTCCAGGCGACCGTACGTGTGAAGGCGGAGAGATGGCGGTGGCCGTGGTCGCAGTGGGAGGTCGTTGATGAGGTCATGCTCGGACGCACAGCAGATGGTCTGAGCTGCGGGGCTCTCGAGTTCGGAGGTGCCTTCTACAAGGTTGGCGAGGATGTCGTGTAGATGCATAGAAGCTCCACCTATATCCTAGACTCGTCGCCGTCATCTTGCGAGTGTTTTCCCGCAGCACGCGAATGCGTCTAACACAGAGAGAAGTGTCCTGTTGGGGAGCAAGAACATAAGAACGCGGTGCATGTTGCCACAGTCCAAGCAACCGAGAACATGAGAACCCAAGGAACTGAACGCTACTCAATGACACCGCTATGAAACTATATTTGTACATTTGAGTGCTCACCTGTGTGGCTACTTTTTACTTCTTGTTTGTGCCTTACCGAGCATATTCTCAAAGGAAGCAGGCATGACTACCCGAGTTGCAGTAGGGCCTAGGAGTCGATACTAGGAGCACAACTTCGGTTTGACTGCGGGTCGGGATAGATCTGATTGGTTTGATTCGGATAGTGGCGGATCTGAGCGATTGCAAATAAGCGCCTAAAGTATCGTCCTTGCTAAGCGTATGTCAAGCTTCATCTCCTTAGATGCGAGCTATCACAGAATCTGACTGACTTATAACTTCATTGTAAAGCAGTAATACATATTTATACCCGTGATCACGACAATATTGATGTCGTCAATGGGCGGGGCACGGTTCACTTCAGTGTGAATGACTGATGTAGCCGAGAGTAGCCGAGCGGCTAGATCGGTTCACCTCCATCAAGCTTCCGCGTGTCGTCGTCCAGCCCCAAGGTTCTGCATCGCAATCCTGGTCATAAGTATTAGCCAATCTCCCAAAGGCCAGATGCCCCCTAAGCAGAAGATGTTGGATTGCAAAACTACAGACTGGGAGTTAAACATGGTAGAAATCCAGGTTTGCCATTCTGCCATTTGCCGGAGGCCAAAACTATTCTGCCCTGTACACTAGGGGAGGACGACTGTGGGCCGGAGATTGGCTGTCACCGAACTAAGAGACTCGAACGAGGGCGTCCGAGTCATCTGGTGTCGGTATGTACACGCTGACTGTCTGATGGCAAACACCAGCAGCCCTAGCACCAACAGCATGAACAGGCAGCACTTGTCTCCATGTCGAGCTCAGGCGTCGGCGCCCGCACCACAGCCACTCGCTCGATAAGACTCGGACGGGAAGGGTAGTATCGACGGTTTCGTACGTAGCGAGAAGCAGCTCTCCCAACGTACAATGATTGTCAACCATCGCAGTATGTGTCTCGAGCAGCAGGCGAGGATGGCGGACTACCTTTGGGATCCACTTAGTACCTTGACTCGAAGCTTAAGGCCCTGTTCGGCAAAGAGTACGAGTTCGATTACCGGTACTTCATGCCGCTCATATACGGCAGGAAAAAGGGAGCTCGTCTCCGTTATCGATTATGGCAACTCTTACTCGAATTCGTTCGCCGAATAGGGCCTATGGCTTCACTCACCAGGACCAAAACAAGAGCAGATGGAGTTATATTGTGGATCGCGGCTCACCCAGCATCACTGATTGCGATAGCAGCCAGGGTCGCCTGCAGTTGCCACCAGCTGCGGCACGCTACGGTCTATTCTCCGTTCTCGGGAGGGGAGCTTGGGTGAGTCCGGTCGGAAAAGGGGATACCCTATAAATACGGTGTTTTCATCGGGAACTCAGGTAGTAACATCAGATGCTCTCTTCTACTCAGCGACCACAAGTTCTAACGATGCCTGGCACCATTTTGAAGCGAAAAGTCGGCGAGGCGACCTTCTCCGCCATTGGCTATGGCGCGATGGGATTAGCTGTAGGCTATGGGCACCCCCTGCCCCTCGAGGAGGCTCTTAAGGTAAGCATAGCTGCACATTTCCGTGGACTATCCCCTAACACCCAATGGCGTGTCCAGGTTCTCGATGGCGTGTACGCGAGTGGGATAACACACTGGGATACTGCGGATGCTTATGGAGACAACGAATACGTTATCGGACAGTGGTGAGTTCACCTTATCACCAGAACGCTCCATACTGGTTCCTGAATTTTGCGTGCAGGTTCAAGCATACGGGAAAGCGAAATGAGATCTTCCTAGCTACCAAGTTCGGCTTGGGTCACTACTGGGAGGGCGACGAGACTCGTACCATCAACGGCGACCCTGACTACGTCCCGAAGGCAGTCCAGAGGTCCTTGGAACAGCTCGGCGTGGAATACGTCGATCTGTTGTACTTGCACAGGTACGCTTGCACTCTGCGGCTGAGGATATACAGACGCGTAAGACATAAATCGCAGGGCCGATGCTAGCGTACCAATCGAACTGTCTGTCAAGGCGATGGCAGAGCAGGTGAAGTGATCATCGACGTTTTTCCAGATTCTGCGTACTGAAGTAGAGCTGACGATCATCTCGCTGCAGAGCAGGCAAGGCGAAATACCTCGGTCTCTCCGAGGTCAGCGCGGACACTCTCCGTCGTGCGCACGCCGTACACCCTATTGCGGCCGTCCAAGTCGAGTACTCGCCCTTCACGACCGATATCGAGGATGAGAAGATCGGTCTTTTGAAGGCTGCCCGCGAGCTCGGGGTCAAGATCGTGGCCTACGGAGCCCTCGGACGCGGACTTCTCACTGGCAAATATGTGAGAATATCGAAGTTGAATGGCACTTTCTGCCAGGACGGTTTTGCTGAGCCATGTCACAGAGAGATCCTGAGCAGTTCCCTCCAAACGACTTCCGTAGGCTGATCCCGCGGTTCTCGAAGGAGAACTTCCCGAACATTCTCAAGATTGCAGAGGGCCTCAAGAAAGTCGGAGAGAAGTACGGCGCTTCATCTGGCCAGGTCGCTCTTGCTTGGGTACTCGCACAAGGAGAGGACGTCATCCCTATCGTTGGCACGACAAAACTCGACGTGAGTGTCTCGCGCTTCGGATACCCTGACCAGTGAGTTGAACATATCGTATGCAGAACTTGAAGGAGAACCTGGGCGCACATGATGTAAAGCTGAGCCCCGAAGACGTCGCGGAAGTGCGCCGCCTTGCGGACGAGGCGTCGATTCCTGGCGACCGGTACCCCGCATTCCTGTTACAGACGCTCTTCGTCGATACTCCTGCTCTTCAACAATGAACAACTGGACGTGTGTGTTAGATGCAGACTGGTGTAGCACACTGTACACAGCATTGGCACTGTCGTGAACAATTCTAATCCTCAGAGCCAGAGATTGAACGTCTGCTGCCCGGTGACGTCCGCCCCGAATGGGAAGTCGCCTTTGCCGACCTGCACAGGCGTGCTGATGCTGAACGCGGTCCGGGCGAGGTTGTAGCGTGAGGCGATGTCGTGGCGGTCTATGCGCGCGGCTGCGGCGCTACATAGTGCGAAGAGAAGGGAGTGGGACTACTGGAGTCGAAGTCTGTAAATCCTTAGAGCAGTCTCGTGAGGTCAGAGATGAGAATGTGTTGATCTTCTTGCTACAGGTGACTTCCTGCTGGCGGTCCCGGCAGCAGCAGATCGGAGAAGATTGAGTATGTGGCCCCGCCATGCGCAATTGTCGGGCATGAGTGAGACTTGAGGGTCATGCGATATCCTGGAATGTATCGCGATGAAATACGGAGACCGTCCCTAAGTATGATAGCGACGTCGACGCCCCCTGTTGTCTGTCCTTGAGGCGCGTCACACTGGCACCTTTGTGTTGACGACGCCGAGAATGACAGTTCCATATTCAAGAGGCTGAAGCTGTGGTGGTGGCAGTTCTACACATGCTCGGTAATTCACAACGAAGGAGTCAGAGGAACGTCCAAAGCAGCTGTTCCCTCGAATGTCCATATCCGCCTCGGGGCGTCAGCCTGAGACGGCGCTTGCTGACTCACCCAGCGGTGCAATGACGTCGACCCGACGCGCAAGTTCAGCGGATATCAACGGTTTCCGTGTCGCCTGAGTCGTCGAAGGACACCACGTCTGGCAGGTTTGGACCGTAAGTAGCAAGAGACAACGCCATCGGATTCAAAACATGGCAGTATTCGTAATCGAGCAGCAAATGACGGTCGCGTGCGGCCATCTTAGCTTGAAGCTTGACTCACCATCCACCCATCCCCCGCTCCTCTGTTCTCCGTTCGGAGAACCTTCAAGATAGTAAAGGGAAGAAGAAGGTTGGTTGAGTCCGTTCGGAAAATGTCGCTCCGTTTAAATACGGTGGTCCCGTCATACAACGGACCCCCACGCAGTAACATCGATCTCTCTTCTTCCCAGTGGTTACAAGCCGCAACTATGTCTAGCACCAGAACTATTGGTAATGCCACCTTCGCTGCTATTGGGTATGGCGCGATGGGAATAGCTACCGCCTATGGGACTCCCCTCCCTCTCGAGGAGCGCCTGAAGGTGAGAATGGCTACACATTCCCCTGGACTATTCCCTCATCCCCATTGTTGTATCCAGGTTCTCGATGGCGTATACGCGAATGGGATAACACACTGGGACACCTCGGATAGCTATCGCGACAGCGAATTCACCATCGGACAGTGGTAAGCTGCTCTCTTTCCGACCGGCCCGCTCATTGATTGCAGCTTATCACCTCTGCAGGTTCAAGCGCACAGGAAAGCGAAACGAGATCTTTCTAGCTACGAAGTTCGGTTTGGGTCGCCACTGGGATGGCGACGAGAACCGTACAGTCAACGGCGACCCTGCCTACGTCCCGAAGGCCATTCAGCGATCCTTGGAGCAACTCGGTGTTGAGTATGTTGATCTGTGGTACTTGCACAGGTGTGTTTCCACGCGGCAGCGGAGAGCTCTACATCGCTCAAGGTGCATATCACAGGGCCGATACTAACGTGCCAATTGAACTCACTGTGAAGGCGATGGCAGAGCAAGTGAAGTCAGCATCGACATGATAACAACTACATAGCTGGGTAAACTGATGGCCGTCTCGCTGCAGGGCAGGCAAGGTCAAGTACCTTGGCCTCTCCGAGGTCAGCGCGGACACTCTCCGTCGTGCGTACGCCGTACACCCTATTTCAGTCGTCCAAGTCGAGTACTCGCCCTTCACGACCGAGATCGAGGACGAGACGATTAGCCTTCTGAAAACTGCCCGCGAGCTCGGGGTCAAGATTGTCGCCTACGGAGCGCTCGGACGTGGACTTCTCACTGGCAAATATGTAAGAATATCCAAGTCGAATGGCTCCTTCTGCCGCGAGGGTTTTTGCTGAGCCATGTCACAGACGGATCCAGAGCAGTTCCCTCCAAACGATTTCCGTAGGCTGATCCCGCGGTTCTCGAAGGAGAACTTCCCGAGCATTCTCAAGATCGCCGAAGGCTTGAAGAAAGTCGGGGAGAAATACGGGGCCTCGTCTGGCCAGGTCGCTCTTTCTTGGGTGCTCGCCCAAGGAGATGATATTATCCCTATCGTGGGCACGACGAAGCTCGACGTGAGTCTCTCACACTCAGGATACCTTGATAAGTGTCTCAACAGTCCTTGCTGTGCAGAACCTGAAGGAGAACCTGGGCGCATACGATGTGAAGCTGAGCCTGGAGGACGTTGCGGAAGTGCGCCGCCTTGCGGACGGGGCCTCGATTCCTGGCGACCGATACCCGGCATACCTGTTCCACACCCTGTTTGCCGATACCCCTGCTATTCAACATTAAGAAAGTGGATGTCTGAACAGGTCTCATGATGGGACCGTACGATGTGGGGTATAGTGTGAGATTACTACTTGCGCTATCATATAGCTAGCATACACCACCATGATCTTAAGAACTAAATCAAAGAGTGCGTTCCCGTGACCGAATATTCCTATCTTCACTCCTGATGCTTTGTTCCGCGTCGTGCCGTCGTCCTGAGCTTATAAGACGATAGGTTCTGTGCCGGCTTACGGACGGACCTGCCATCGCCGAGTTGCTACCCACGCCTTCGACCGGCGTCGGTTAGCAATCACGGTCGTCGACAAGATTCCATTCCGCTCTCACTTCTTCCTTCGTGCCGTCATGGTTACATAACGCGGTGAACTGCATTCAGGCCCTCCGCTCGTGTCCGAGAAAAACAATCCCGCGTGAGGATGTTCCAACGGTTGCCGGCTTACCGCACACAGTGCATGGCAGCCATGGCAATGACCTTAGTTTGGTCGAGATACGCGTCGCTCGCGGGATATATCAGGAGGTGTATGCGGACTCGAGACGTCATTCTTATTGTATGCAAATTCAGCCATTGATCCGCATCGACTAGCCTATGAAAAGGTGAAACCACTCGTGGTTGTCCAGAAGCGCCCAAGAGTCCGCATCGCGTGCAGTCTGCAGAACAAATTGGCTCAACGGCGAAAGACGACGGACGAGTAGCTCTACGGCGTCATTGCGAGTGAACGGGGTAGTGCGGGAGTCTGCGCCCTCTGAGCTGACGATGCTTCGTGGAAAGCAATCGACCGTGCGGAACTCGGTGACGTTAACGTTGTGCCCTGAAAATAGTTCGAACGATTGGTTACGCACACAGGGGCCGGGTGAGAAGTGGGGTGTTTGGTGTGTACATTTTTTAGAGCGAAGCTCAGGGCCTCGTGCGTGTGCAATTGCAGACCTAATGCGAATGTGATGGAAGTCATATGCATGCACGTTACGCGGGGTATGAGCCTGTAATATGCATGTGTGGTAGTGGTGCACCCACCGATCGCGGACACCTAGACGATAGGAACACAATCGTTATCATAGCTTCTCCACACAGTGGGAAGTGAATAGTCGTGTGTTGGTTCGGATGCCAGCACTGAAACTGCCACAGTGCGCAATGCAATCGCGGTCTCGGCAGGGAACCTAGCGGACTACGAAAAAAGGAGCGAACAGAACAACGTCATCGAGATATGCAGAGTTGTATGGTGGCTATCTGAGCCCGGAATGATGAACGATACTGACCGACGCGTCGACGTTAGTGCGGTGCCGCAAATTATTGAAGTCTCGAGTGGGAGCTCGCGGTTAGTACTCAAGACACCCTCAGAGTCCGCGATCGCTGAGCAGTTTAGACCGCGATCACGTTACACTCCAGGAGTCCTGATCGTTCAAAGAGAAGTTGAGGTAGCGTGTTGCACCAATGCGAGATGAGGGGAAGAAGGCCGTCCGGATTGGTGACTATGATTGCCAACTTGACTTGCTATCGAGGCCTAGATACAAGTAATCACAGCCACCAGCTGGCTCGGCTATCGGGACATTGTACCAATGTGGATTTAAAGGTTACCCTGCTCTGCTAATTCCCTTGGACGTCGGCCTCCACGACAAAGTGTACTCAGCCGGGCTGCGGCCTGCACGGAACAGTCAACTTTTAGCAGCACTTGTTGCCAACGTGGGTTTACGTACCTGATGTTCCCACTACCCAGAGAGATTTGTAGAGGGGACCAGTCGTAAAACCAAAATACAGGGCAGGGTATGTAGTAGTCCCGCTGCTCGTCGCTGGGTACCGTTGTGATGCTGGCGCTGCGAAGACGTTCTGGTGTTCATGATACGTGGAAACGCACCTAAGATTAGACGGAAAATCTGTCCGAGTTTGGCAGTCACTTCACCTTGAGTGCGGGAATGCCAAGAGAGAAGTCTACCTGAAGTGGTGCACGCCGCTGCTTCCCGCGCAATGGTACATTGACGTCTTCCTCGACGTCGTCCTATTGGTGATTTACATGCGGAATGGGGACTGCCAGCGTCGCTGAAGCGTGCGTATCGAGCTGAGAACTCGCCTAAGCTCTCGAAATTGTCTTCAGGAGGTCCATGGTAGCTCTGTGCTGTCTACCGCAAGAGCTCTAGATCCCCGATTGAGAGCATGCATACTGCAACGGAAAGGTGGACTCAAGGGGTCGTCGCAGAAGTCCGCGCTATTCCCGCGCTGACGAGCGTCCGGGCTGGGGCGGCAACGTCAAATTGTGATCGCGAGACATGTTTGAATGTAGGCATCATTTGCATTTGCAGGCGACGTCCACAAAACCAGACGCCTCCAACACGGGCCTCGGGTTGTCTGAGCGGGTCGTGGCAGAAACACCGGGCGTATACCTCCGTCTGCGTCTGGACCGATATCCGTCAGCGGCTGACAGACTGGCGCGCGCGAAAGAGACGAGGACACAGGTTCACGCCACATTCTGGGCAGGCGCAAGGTACATTAGTAGCCCCTAAGTACAGTACTGGAATAGCAAGTACGGACACGGTACGACGCGAAAAGCTGAGGGCGAGCATTTGCCAAGACGGTCTAGAGCTTGTCATCAGGCGAAGGAGCGTAAGGCGTCCCGGTTCGGAGAGGACTTTGAGAAGAAGTGGCACTGTGTCCTCCTGACGCACATACCACGCGTTGCCGAAGGTGCGAGCGGAGGGTGCATGCGGGAAATTGGCGGAGCACAAAGTGGACAGAAATGGCACACGATAGCAGAAAATTCCCAGTGAATCCTTCGGGGGCGAGAGACGGCTGGAGAGGAGCTCGCTACAGCTCGCAGGCACTGGTTTCGAGGTATCTAGAGCGGTCGTAAGAACGACTGAATGCGGCGGGGGAAATGTGCAGTGGGAGGACAGCTGAATGGCGGATGACCGTCGCAGGCGGCGGCCCCGGTCGGCGCCTTTGTCGCGGGCTGTCTGACGGTGGGAAGGGCCGACCTCCTCCTGCCACCAGCGCGGCCTGCCCTCCTCTGTCTCCCCTTCCCTTCCATTCTTTCCTTCCTAGACATCCTCCTCGCCGTCCTCGACGTCCTCGTCGCCGACGCTCACCGCCTCCAATCACCCCGTCATGTCCAGTCCATGGCCGTCTACCACGGACGCGCCTGAGCCCCGGTCAGGCGCGACGACCCCGGAGGAGTACCCCTCTCAGCCTCGCACTCCCCATACCTCCACCTTCGAGTCGCCTCTCCTCTCTCCTGAGGCAAGAGAGCAGGCCTCCTTCTCCTCCAAGCAGCGGTCGTCATCGGTATTGGGCAACGGCTATGTCTCCGTCTCCTCCCCGCTCAACCCCAACTCCGCCGGCATTCGCTCACGGCCCGCCTCGCGAGGGAGCACGTATTTCAATCGCATCGCATCAGAGGAGTCGCAGGCTCTCGCTGCGCAATTTGGGCACCTAGGCGGCGGGCAGCGCGGCTCTATGGTCCTCTACCGCCTCGCGTCCGACGACGACGGCGGCTCTCTTGCACCTCCGAAGGCGTTCGCGAATAACCGGGACTCCGTCGTCTCTTCATCGGGCGACTCTGTCTTCTCGCTCTCGTCCGACTCGCGGTTCCCGACAGGGCAAACAACACTCGGGCGAGGCTTCGTACCGTACGCGTACGACCCCGATGTCGAGAAGGACTTCCCCGACGACGACGACGACCTCCTCCACACGCCAGAATTCGGCCGTGACAAGCATTCATACTGGTCCTGGCGAGGGATATTAAATATCGGGGTCATTATATTGCTTCTCCTCGCTCTGTTGACGCTTTTCATCTGCTATCCGCTTGTCGACTTTTACCGTAACGAAGCACGGAATCTGGCCATTACGGCAAATACCCACATCAACTCGACCGGACAAGTGCCGAAAACAGTAGCAGAGTAAGCTCTACCCTCAATTCGCGCCCTTGTCCTGCACCGTAACACACTTTCGCACGTAGGTTTGCGATGCCACAACTCATCGACCCCGACACGCCCGACTCAGCCAAGACGCGTACCGGTTTCGACAACCAGGCTTACGAGCTCGTCTTCTCGGACGAGTTCAATGTGGACGGACGGACGTTCTACCCAGGGGACGATCCCTTTTGGGAAGCGGCCGATCTCTGGTACGGCTCGACGGGGGATCAAGAATGGTACGACCCGAAGCAGGTGTACACCCAGAACGGCGCTCTACAGATCGTCATGGACTCTGTGACGGACGAAACCATCAACCATGGGCTGCCGTACCGGAGCGGTATGCTGCAGAGCTGGAACAAGTTTTGCTTCACCAGCGGGTACATCGAGGTCTCGGTCACGCTCCCGGGGCCAGATTCGAACGCCAAGGGTTACGTGAGTTGATCGTCCCTAGCGAAGGGGTTTCGTATGATCAGGAGTGCTGACGGTACCAATGTCCAGTGGCCTGGTGCGTGGACGATGGGTAACCTTGGCCGGCCAGGATACAGGGCAACGACGGATGGGACGTGGCCGTACTCGTAAGCACTACTGCTAGTTCTCTTCTTTCTGCCCCTATCGAGCCTCTGGCCACTAGGTATGATGCGTGCGACGTTGGCACGTTCCCCAATCAGACCTATGCCAATCATTCCGGGCCTGCAGCAGCGCTCGACTCGGAAGCTTCGAAGGAGAAGTACAACTTCGAGCTTTCGTGGCTACCAGGACAGCGTCTCTCGTACGTACCCCTCCTCACTTCGTCGTCATCGGGCATTCATAGGATTTCTGACCTTCACGCTTCTCAGTGCGTGCACGTGCTCCGGAGAGGACCACCCTGGCCCAAGCACGTCCAAGGGTCGGGGCGTGCCCGAGATTGATATCCTCGAGGTCGAGCGGAACAAGACGGCGGGGTCTACTGGCCAAGTTGTGTCACAGTCGGCGCAATTTGCGCCGTTTACGCATGACTACACCTACGGAAACGATACCGAGAATGAGTGGTGGATCTACGACCCATCTATCACTCGCCCTAACGACTACAAGGGCTCTGCGATGTGAGTCTCGAGGCACCGCGGCGTGCAGGATTGCCGTACTGACTGCCAGGTGTAATCCAGCCAGCAGGCAGTGTCGGCGTTGACGAACCTGCCCGATGACATGTTCCAGGGCTCGGGCGCGAACTTCAAGACGCTCGGGTTCGAGTACTGGGCGAATCCCAACAAGCGCGACGAGGGCTTCATTACTTGGCAGTCCAACGGCCAGTCCACCGTCCGCATGGGCGCGTCCGCGATGGCACCCGATCCGGACACCGAAGTATCGCAGCGGCTTGTTCCGGAGGAACCCATGGTGCGTAGTGGCCTGTGCTCTCTCCCTGTCGCTCTCGCTCACTTTCCGCGTTCTGTAGTCCATCATCTTGAACTTGGGTATCTCCTGTGAGTGCAGGCGTCCCGTCTCTCGTGATAGATCCTCGCTGACTGAGCGATATCAGCTAACTGGCAACCCATCGACTTGACTACAATGGTCTTCCCTGCGATAATGCAGGTCGATTACGTGCGCGTGTATCAGAGGAAAGGGCAGACGAACATCGGCTGCGATCCTCCGGATTACCCCACGAAGGACTACATCGCCAACCACCTTGAAGCCTATTCCAGTACGTACTATCATGCTACTCGCCATTGAGATTCAATCCTTACGCACCCATACCTCACAGATCCCAACCTGACGTTCTGGTCACAACCACAACCCGTTGGTGCAGGGTACTCATGGCCCAAAAACTCCGCGGTATGTCACTCTATTGATCATTTTACAGACTTTGAGCGCTGAGGTTGATTTTTTCAGCTGAACGGTTGTTAGCGTGGGTGCGTACAACGATCAGAAGCTCGACTCCCCTTGTGTCATCCTCTGGACATTTACCAGTAACGTAAGAGTAACAATATCGCCTCTGTCATGACCCAGCTGCATCCGCTCTTGTCTGTACATCCGCTCGTTCTCCCTCTCCGGATCCGTCACGTGTGCTTATGCGGGTTCCCCTCCGATGCTCCCTCCCATACCTGGATGGTCGCGCTCTGCCCTCCCCAGATGCGTTCCATTCCTCCCCCAACACTCTGCTTCGTCTACCCCGCCTCTCTCCAGCTCCTTCCCTCGCACCCCTCCTCTCACCGTCCTCATCCCGCCGCATTTATCCATGCAGCACCACATCGGATCCGGGTCAGCCGTCGGGAGCTATCCTTAGGACTCTTTAACGCTGTCACGTTCATTCTCTGGTCATATCATTACTTTGCTGTCATTCCGCCTCTATTCCTAATCAGCTAATGCGGACGTTCATCCACGACATTTTTTGTTAGCGCGCACACGCATATGCATCTCTTACGTCTCCACCTTCACGGTCAATGTGCAATCTCCACATACCATACGTATACTACTTGGGTCTTCATTATCTTCATTCGCCGCCCCCCCCCCCTCCACCGGGCCACTGCTCCACGTTCACTTGGTAACCTGGTTGTTCGGTCTTTTTCGTACGGTAGTTGGTCCTACTAAACGCGCGATTGCTGTCGTGTATAGTTCAGGTGGTCGTCCGCCCCCGCGCTTCGCCGCGGCCGCGGCCACCACACGCCCTATCAGGGTCGATGGGTGCCTACCCTCTCCTTCGATATCCGACAGTCGGCGCACCCAGGGAGGCAGTCCCGGGTGTTCCTGCTGCGTACGCACCTGTATGTATTTTACAAAGTACTCGGGACCCCGTCACTATCGTAGAGCATCGTTCCTCGCTGTCGAATCCTCTCCCTTCTTCCGCTCTTGCGCATGCGTTTGTGCTTGTAGGCCTGCGGATCCGATCAACTCAGGGAGGCGCAGCTGTCTGGGCTGACCGGGACGGCTGTGGTGCAGGTGACACTGCGTGCCCAAGTGACCGGAGTAAGTGAGGGGTTATACCGCACTTATTGCGCTTTACTACCTTAAGCGGGGGCAAGGTCGGGACCTAATCAAAGGTCGTCGTTGATCCAACTTCTGAGAAGTCGACCAAAAGGCTACAGAAAGACGACGCCGTGGCCAAGGCCATTGATGCTTGTGCCAGTGCGCCTACCTCCCACTGCGGCTCAAAACAAATTGGGCCAAACAGTTGGACTTGGGTGCGGTCGCGGGACTCGCGATCGTTGGTGCGACTGCTCCTTGTGCTTATCTTGGGGGGCATCTCTAGTCTTGCACTTTCGGAGGGCTTGTCTAGCTTGCGTCTGCTGCTGTCTATGAGAGTTTATACTGGCAGGCTTGGGTTTCTCTGGGCTCTGCGTGCTCAGGGGCTACTACTGGTCGCTGCTGGGATTCTACAACTAATTCCTTTTCTCTCCTCTAGCTCCTACCATAGCATGAATACGACGTCTTCGGGGCCCAGGTTTGTAACTAAGAACTCGAGCCATTCCGTGTAGTCGCCCATAAGTACTTGTAATCTAACGTAATGGGAGATGCTACCTGCACTGTTCTTGGAGCCGTCGATGTTGTAGAGGGGGATGTCTCTAGCTAGCCTATGTAAATAGACGTTGTTCTTCTCTACGAAACAGTGACTGATGAAAAGGGCCGTTGCCCCACTGTCTATCATAGCTGCGGAACGTACACTACGGTTTCTGCCTTTAAGTATCACACTGACGCGGAAATGTGAGCTAGACGGGTTTAATTCGGGAATGATACACGAACTAACACTATCATACAGGCAGGGGTCAGGGATCTGGGGAGGTGAAGAGTCCGTACTCGTACTGGAGGGCGCCGCTGCGGCAGCTTTCACACGCGCCCGCTCTAAAAAGACTTCTGCAGAGAGGCAAGCTGGTCCGCGAGGGCCTTCTGCTACTCCATGAGCTGCGCGATGAGGGCGTTGGTTGCTCCGGCGTCCGCAGACGTGGACATCGATGCTGCGACCTGGAGTTCCTCGGGTCCCTCCTCTGTTGCAGCGAGCTTCTGCGAGCGGGGCTTCTTCAGGAACTTGTCCATGCACACTGTCTCGCGGTGCCCTACACGGCGACAGTAACTGCAGATGTCCCGATCATGGCCTCCGTCCTTCTTGACGTGCACCGTAGACCCGCAACTGTAGCACTTGCCGCGCATGAGGCGGTTGAACTCTTCGCGCGTACGGGTCGCGTTGATGTCCATTGCATTTGGGTCTCTGGCAGGCGGTGTGAAGGGGGTGTGTGCAGCGGTACGGCCGGCTTGGTCGCTGTGGTGGTGGT